ATTATTGGAAAATATAAATGATATCACATTAAAATATAAGTTCTTATGTTAGTGAGAGGGAAATGCAATGCAAAACTGAGTTTGTTGTAAATTTTGCGCATACGCACGTGCTGGAAGGTTAAGAAACTGTTTTTGGATGTTTTGAACCATGTTTTAAGATCTTTTTCCCCTCCTTAATGGTAATAAATACATTTCTTTTTATTGAAGCAATTTAAATACACCCAAGATTCATTTATTGCGACAAAATTTTCCCATTTTTATACAGATAAATGCTTATAAAAAATTCTGCAGTGTGCTCAGCATCTGGCGATGTGTCATGGAGAAAGACATCGCACATTATTATTTTTTTTTCCTTTCTAAAATTCAAATCATAATTAACAAACTTTGTTTACAGTTGGCTCTGAGCATTTTAATGATTTGCACTGTCCTTTGACTTAGCGGGTTTTCTTTTAACATTAAAGATTTTAGCTTTGCAACATTAGAAACATTACATTTTTTTCTTTGGATATGTATTTGGAACATTTTTTCCACTTATAGCCAAACTCTGACCCTTTTTCTCCTTTCTTTTTGACTATATAACCTATTGCAGTTTTAGATACTAGAAAACCATAGCTTTCACAGTTTTTTTTTAATAACTAGATACAAATAATTTCCTTCAGAAAGTGCACAAATATAGCCTTCCATTCATTTTGCATGAAAACAAAACTGTCAAATAGTAGACAATAATTTATACTTTAGACGAATTTTTTTAAAAAAATGCAGCTGTATAAAAAGTACAGCTGCAGTTTTTAAAAAATTTCCAAATAGACAATTCTTTTTAATAGCAAAGCAAAATAATTAAAAAAAAAAAAAAAAAAAAAAAAAAAAAAAAAGAACATAAGAACAGCCTCCGTACGATGAAGCCACATTGGTAGAGAGAAGTAAAAGTCTGAAACTTAAAAACTGGGAGATTTGTTGATTTATCGGGAGACTGGGAGATATGATGAAAAACCTGTAAATTGGGGAAAGTTGGCAGCTATGTAATTGGGTGATCTCACTGCAATGGAAGACTTCATTTATATAATCAGCATTTAGCATTTCTTTATGCATCCACTAATCATTAAAATTTGCTTTTTACTAGCAATATCCAAAAACCTTCAAATTGTGGCTAAAGTCAATATCAAACTAGATCGTGGGCTCTAGATCACAATAAGCATTTTATAATAACATATACAGACCGATATTTCATGGCCTTGCTATGACTTCACACAGAAGATTTTATATTCAAATACTTAAATTTGGGATGATCTTGATGATTTTAAAAGGGTATTTCATATCTGCATTTCAACAATCACAAAATCCAGATATCTACTGGCTGAATGATGGATATACTGTTTACAGGAAAGAGTAAAATCGAGACATCAACATCTAAAATTTAATTTTAAAATTTTAATTTTGATAATATTAGTAATAATAGCATAAACAAAATAATAAGCTACATCAAATCAGAAAGTTAAGGAAGAGTGCAATTTAGAATGCTAGCTGAGTTTTAGTTCAATGGAATCTTTCATCCCTAATAAGCCAATAAAAGGAAACCACTTTGTGTAATAAAACAAATACACATCTTCCCTTATTGTGCGCAACACAGAAAAATGCTACAATCTTTCTCACAACCATTCAAGCATAAAAAATGCAGTTTGTAAGCTGACAGATACTTCAAGGCAAAACAATAAATAGGCTGATTTAATATTGTCCCAGATAAGAATATTTATCAGCAAAAGAAATCTCAGCTAATCAGGAGAAAAATTTATTTATGACAGGCCTTTTTTTTTAGTATCAGGTTACCCATTTCTGCACAGTGTGAGAAATAGGGAAAATTTCTAAAAGGGGGGGGGGAATTGTGTTCAGTTAGGTTACATTATCTGAATATGGTAAAGCATACAAGGGATAGCTACATAAAGTTTAATGTAAGGTTTAGATAACAGAGGTCAGTCAGGTTATTAGATGTCTGGATTTTACTCTACCAATTACATTTTAGATCCCAGGTTTAAAAATAAATCCATCATTTCAAAAGAAAAAAACATTTTTCAGTATCTCTGTGGCATTAGTAAATAAAGGCTTAAATTCTAAATAAGTTAAAAAGCAGAGCATTTTTTTGAATTTTGTTAAATATATGGCAGAAAGTAAAACATAACTTGCTGAAGAGCTATTTATCAAAATCACTTAGCCAGACACAAATGTATGTTGTCATATTGAAGAAGCACAGATTCTGTCTAAATAAGTGCAATAAAAAGGTTAATTTATAATCGCAAGAATTTCAAGAATTCAAAAGAAAATTTCAATAAAGGAGTCGATTTCTCACGCAATGGAAGAACCAAAGGGTCAGAAAAATAATAAATTGAAATCTTTATTTTTATTATTAAAATACTGTTTTAACGCCCAAACATAAAAGGAAGGAAAAAAAAAACTATTTTCTTACTCACCAAACCAATTGTGCAGCTTCATCACAAAGACCAGCCATAACATAAAATTTTACTGCTAAATTTTTTGTTTTTTTATAAAGATTCTTTCCAAGTTCCTCAATACTTTACCAATGAAACTGCCTCTGAAGTGCTAAAATTAACAGTTTCTAAATACAGCCATAAAATGCTACACAAAAGAGGTGAAAAAAAGACACATATGGGCTACCCATAAAATTCTAGATGTAGCATAAAAAGTTATGCAAAAGAGGTAGTGAAAAACATATATGATTACCTTAAAAATTGCTCTCTTCTAGAAATTATTAGGAGGAAGGAGGTAATGTAAAGAATCAACTATGCCCTCACCAGAAGTCAAATTGAGACCATCTAACTACTAACCAGATACGTAGACACACACATACAGTGGTGGCCAAAATTGTGGACACTTTTGGAAATTTTTATGTTTTTAAACTTTGTATGCTTATAGAGAACGTTACGTTTCACAAAATGCAAACTTGTATATATCATTTTTAAGAGAATTTATTACTGAATTCAATACAAAACACAAAATTCAATTATTTGCAATACCAAAAATGTTCAACGATAATAGTTATCGATATACATTAGATAGTGATGATAGCAGTGAGTTATCAGTACTTAGTAGGGTACCCTTTATTTTTGATTACAGCTTCACATCCATGTTTCATTGAGCTGACAAGAGTTTTAAGCTCTTCTTTCGTTATTACATGATGCCAAAAAACAATTATAGCCTCAATTAGTTCCCTTTTATTTGATGGGTGCCTCATTCGGACAAGAGTTTTCAAACGGTGCCACAAATTTTGGATAGGATTGAGGTCAGGACTGTTTCCTGGCCATGACAACAATTCAAAGCTCTTTGTACGAAACCACTCTTTCGATATTTTGGTTGTGTGGCAAGGAGTAGAATCCTGCTGAAAAATAAAGGAAGCATTGTTGGGAAAGAGATCTCTGATGGAAGGTAGAAGTTTTAGTTCTAGAATAGTGTCAATGTATTTTCTGGCATTCAGTGTCCCATCGATGACATGAAGGCGACCAGTACCATCTGGTGACATGCATGACCAAATCATAACACTAACCGGGTTCTTCACAGTTGCTTGAATGCAGTCAGGATGTAGCTCTTCTCCTATTCTACGTCTTACATATTTTCACCCATCACTACCGAATAACGATATCTTAGTTTCATCACTCCATATAACTTGTGACCACTGATCATCTGTCCAATTAATGTGTTCCTTTGCCCACTGTAGTCTTTTTTTCGTTGCTGAAAATTAAGATAAGGCTTTTTTTGTGGAATTCTACCTCTCAGTCCAACACCTGTTAATCTTCTCCTGATTGTTCTTGAACTGACAGAAACACCAGCATCATTCAGATCACTTCTGATGGCTGCTGATGACATTTTTCTATCTTGGAGACATAGTCTTTTTATTCTTCTGTCATCAATAGATGTGGTGCACCTTTTTCGGCATTTTCCTTCTTTGTTTTTTATTGAACAAAGTAGTAGTTTTTTATTATTATTTGTCTCCTGATATCGTAAACAAAACTTTCGGACTCCAGATGTAGTCACTGAACCACCCACCTGTCTTGCAATTTCAGCATAGGAAAGACCACTTTCTCGTATCAAATAATATTACATCTCTTTCTAGGCGTCCAATCTATTCTTTTATTTGATGTCATTGCTTCTTGACTAAATATTAAAAATTTTTACAAAAATTCCTACTTGTAATTGCATTGTATAAGAAACAGGTCCTCCTTCTACAGAAAAGCAAAATAATGAATTGTTTCAAGTGTAAACATGATGTCAGCTTCTACTGGCAGTTACTAACATTTGATTGGCTCTCAGAACAAGAACAGTGATTGGCCAGGAAAGCTAGACATTACAAACCACTTCATAACTGTGTTTTTTTATTTATATTAAAGTACATATAACTTTTTTTGTATTGCAAATAATTGAATTTTGTGTTTTGTATTGAATTCAGTAATAAATTCTCTTTAAAATGTTATACACAAGTTTGCATTTTGCGAAACGTTACATTTTCTATAAGCATACAAAGTTTAAAAACATAAAAATTTCCGAAAGTGTCCACAATTCTGGCCACCACTGTATATCACACAATAAATATTCATCTGATATACATGATATACAGGTGAAAAAATGTCTTTAACACCACTTTACATTCCTTCACTTAAAAGATGAATAATAGCAGAAATGATACTCAGTTAGGTTAATCAAAGTGGTGATAAGCTTCATTTATCATAATTTAATTCAAGTTCCACAATAGAGATTATTTTTTTCCTATAGTAGGTAACATGAAAAATCAACTGTGCACATGTAGTACATGAAAGAAATGCTTTCAAACTTTACACTTATCGTATCTTAAAATGTGTAAATTGATATAGGTCACAAAAAAAGCTCTTTAATAAAATTTTTACTTAAAACAAATTATATGAGAGAAAGCTCATTTAAAAATACACAAAAAGCTTTAATCCCGTTTAGCAATATTCTTACGATGTTAAGTTGCTTACCAATAACTTCAATCATAGGCGCTAATGTCATTTTTTTCTTTGGAGCTAGCAATTTATTGACCAAATCTAAGCCTTCAAATACTTCACCATGTTTCAGTTTCGGAGCACAAATTCTGAAAGTCTCTGAAAACAAAATGCAAATTTCTAAAAAGGAGGGAAAAGAAAAAAAAAAAACACAACATTTTAAAGAAATTCTAAAACGGTCATATTACTATTTTCGACATCATACTGAATATCAGGTTTTTCATCACTATATGCCACTTTTCCTGGTAAGTTCAACCTGGAAATAAAAGAAAAAAAATCTGATGTGTACACCACATGACTACCTTGTATTGGAATATTAAATTATACGCATTTTTTCTTGCATTTCATTTAAACTTATTGGATTTAATTAAATCTACTTTGCTGAAACCACAATAGAATAAATGCATTCTTTAAAATTCACTCTAGTATTTGTTTACCATAGCGACACTCTGACGCTAGATTCACTTAACAGTATTAATAATTATATAACAGTTAACTTATATAAAAATTATATAATGGAAACTAAGTTAACTGTTATATAATCCAATAATTATATAACAGTTAACTTATATATTTCGTTCATATTATAACTCATAATGCACAAAATTTATATCATTTAAAGAATAGAATTATCTAATCATTGCCACATGTTCTATTCAAATACTATAATAAAGCTAGAATGATGTATAAAAGAAATTAAGCAAGCAAAACAAAAAAGAAACAGTTTTTCACAGGCGATTGAGTATTTCTCATTTAATTAAAACAGTTCTCACTTCGCGAGAAGGCAAAAATACATAAAAACTCAAAATATCTATATTAAAAATTACAGAGTAAATCTTACACACTTATTTCCTCGAAAAAATTCCAGAAAGAATTAAGCATGATTTAATGGCAATAATAAACGAATGTGTTATCTTTGTTGTTGCGAAGCTAAGTTTCTCTAGATTGGCAACAAATCCACTAGTCTCCTGTTTCAAATGTAAACATCAATGGCCGCCATTAATAAAAAGGCTTGCGGCAATTAAACAACTTTAAAATTGCTAATAATTCTAAAAATATTGCACACAGATTTACTAAAAGCATAAAATCCTTAACCGGAAGATAAAAACAACATAATTCAATCATTTTTAAAGCAAAAAATGTACAATTTACAAACATATAAGAGTAAAGAAACTGAAATCACTGAGCCGGGTAACAGAGTGGATATATATATAAATATATTTATATACGTTTGGTGCAGCCGATTGCAACCAAAATACGAGGTGCACATCTACATGTTATAGCAATCCTATATACAAAATTTCAACATTCTGAGGCTACTCATTTTTGAGTTATGCGAGATACATATATACATTCGTACAGACGCCATGGAAAATTCTCTTCAGAATTAATTTTAAAGCAGTTTTATAATTTTTTTGAAGGAAAAGAGTATTTTATTCTGACCTTACGTACAGATATCATGCAAAAACATCGTTAAATTGCATTCAATAGTGGTCAAAATGGATATTTTCGTTGAAATATGCTGCCAATTTCAACGAATTACAATACTTCATTTTTACTTCGTACAAGGAAGTAAAAAAGGAGGCTTCTCAGCTCACATATCCTTTAAATACGTAGGTGGGTCCAAAAAAAAAAAAAAAAAAAAAGGTTACAAGCATGAGAATTTGTAAAGTAATTACTGTGGTGGGAATTCTTTTCCCCCACACTGTAGACTAATGGCACTACTTATCTAACAGCATTTGTGTGGGTAGGGAGAGTAAGTTCACAGACATTTCAGAGTGATTGAAATGGCAAGATGTCCAGAAAAATGGTCTTGCTTGAAGGTGTGAGTTGTGATGCGTTATCCAGATCGAGTATCTGAGATGTGGCCACACCATTATCGTGCAACTTCGAGAAGGTTACGTGAAGCCATCCAATGCAAGCACCATGGCATGTTGAGTGATGGTGTCATCCTCCTGCATGACAATGCACAGCCCAACACAGATCGCCAAACTTAAGAATTGCTGCAAAAGTTTTAAATGGAAAGTTTGGAGTCACCCCCTTTTCCACTATAGCACAGATTTAGCGCCCAGTGACTATTTCCTTATTCAGAAATTGAAGGAACATTTATCTGGAAGAAGATTCTCTTCAGACAGTGATATGAAAGTAGCTATCGAGAACTCACTCAAAGGGCAGGGACATGATTACCACCAAGCTGGGTTAAACAAGTCGTTCCCACATTCAGGTAAATGTCTAAATAGATTTGGTGATTAGGTGGAAAAATTACAGGCAAGTATGCTTCTTTGTTCTCTTTTGTATTTTCTATCTATTGTTAATAAATAATTTATTATCCTTGTAACCTTTTTCTTGTATCCACCGTCGTATTTAAGACAGCAACATACTTTTTCAAGCAAAAATGCTTTAAGTCAGAAAATAAAATTATACCTCAGAAAATACGGTTTGGAGTAAAACCTGAAATCATCATCTTCAAAATGTACTTCAACTTCAGCAGCCTTAAAAAAAAAAAAAAAAAAAAAAAAAAAAATTTTTAAACATCAATTTAAATGATAATAAATTTATTTATCTGATACAGTACAAAGTCCGTAATCCGGACTCATCGGGACTTCAGCGATTCCGGATTAGGGTTTTTTCCGGATTTATAGAACTTCAATTTAAATCTGGTAAGATGGCATGCAGAAATTATACAATTAAAAATATGTAACCGTAATTTATGAAATAAAGAGCAATTATGATCTAAAGCAAAATTACAAAAAAAAAAAAACTTAATATTTGTTTACTTTATTAAACATTCATCACTTTGTCATGATCGTCACTTTTAGCATAACGAACCCTTTTTCCGTTAGTCATTGCAAGTGGGGTGTCGAAATCCACAAAATATTCAAAAAACTCCTTTTTCTTTTTGCTTATGTCATATACAGTTGATTTTCCAATGTCATACTCCTAGCATAATTTTGAGACGGGTATGCCTTTATCCATTTTTTGCAACAATTCGACTTTTTGTTTGATGGACATCGAAACATGCTTTCACTTTGTAGATCCTTTGGCAGCTCCAGAATTTGAAACTCTTTTTAACATAATCGAAAGTTCAAGCTTACTTTTTATAAAATTGCTCTAACAGTCTGTAAAAAATAATAAGCCAGATCCAATTAGAAGATTAGAGAACAGCACAATCTGCAACATTAACTGAAATGCCTTAGATAATTTTAGCCGAGCTTATACCGTCCATTATACATTAAATGCGCATACATATGGGCATGCGTAAACGCATATATGTTTACGCATGCGCATAAAGTTTGTAGCTTTCAGGTCTGGATTATAGATCATTCCAGATTATTGACGTCCGGATTAGAGACTTTGTACTGTATATTATATGGAAGTAATTGTACAGTAGTGAAAAAAAAGATTTAAATACAAGTACAAAGACCTAAATATAATGAAAAAATTAAAACCTTAGCATAAGGAACTTGAATGGAGACAATCAGAAACTCTTCATTCTGAGTTAAGTTAAATGCTGGAGTTAACATTTTCACCTAAATAAAACAAAAAGAAAATTATTACCAAACAATTTTTCAGCCTAGACCTTAAAATTATGCAATGAAATAAAAGATTGTATCTCTCTATCTACTAATTCAGTGAATATAAATTTACCTTTTGGACATATCAGCTGAAATTGCTACATTATTGCAGATTACTTTGATTTAAAAAACAGCACACACAGACTAAAACATACACTGTGCAAAAAAAAAGGGGAGGACAGTTTTATATCTCCCATTATACTGGGTTGATTGACGAAATTCAACTTTTTTTCATGTCTCAAAAGCATGACTTAGGATACGTATTGGACTTATATATAGAATTGTTCTAATATAGGTATTTTACACAAAATCGGACCTTTTTCTGAAATAACACCATTTTTTTTTTTTTTTTCCATATTTCAATTCTACAACTCAAATTATGCCAAACTACCAAGTTTTGTAAAAATCACATGAGTATTTTTTAAAAAATTAGCTCTCAATGTTAATTGCGTTAGGTATTATTTATTAATCTCTCTTTTTTTATTAAACTTATTTGATTCTTCCTTTCACATTTTGAAATTCAGGTATCCTAAGCCACGCTTTCGAGACATGAAAAACGCAAATTGAATTTCATCAATCGGCCCAGTAAAACTGTTCCTCCCCTTTTTTTTGCGCAGTGTACTCCTTGTACAATAAAAAAAAAAAAAAAAAAAATGGTACAGCTTTATATTTCTTGTTCTACTGGACCGAATGTTGAAATTTAACTAGCATTTTCCATGTCTCGAAAGTGCGACTTAGGATACATATGAGATTTATATATAGCATTGTTCTAACATACGTATTTTGACACAAAATCGGACTTTTTATGAAATATACCATTTTTTTAAATATTTCAATTTACAACTTAAATTATGCCTACTAAATTTTAAAATTTTTTTGTGAGAAATTTAAAAATTTATCTTGCCACATTCTTTTTTTTTCCCCAGTTTGCGCCAAGAATAATTCATTAGCGAGCTTCTTAATTTATAGCTACATATTTTCCTTTCCTTTTTTTCATTGAACACAAGCGGAAACAAGGTTATCGTCATCGGTCATTACTTTCATATAATTTTAATAAAGTGTGTAAACCACATTTGACGTTATTATTGCTTATAACAAATATGCCAAATTCCAAAATGTGCCAATATGTAAATTAACGTACATCTTAGGACATTTTGAATAACAAACAAATTTTTTTGCAGGTATGCTTAGAAATACTACATCTACTTTAAAATAATGGTATAATGTTTATAAAAATTATTTAAAAATACAAATTTTAAAAGCAAATCATAAAAAAATGGAAGAATTTTACTTGGAATGAATCCAAAATTTCGAAATGTGAAAGGAAAAATCAAATAAGTTTAATAAAAAAAAAGAGATAAATATATACTAAATTCAATTAACATGGAGGAGCTAAAATTTTCAGAGCTAATTTTTTTTTAAACTAGTCATATGATTTTTACAAAACTTGGCACTTTGGCATAATTTCAGTCGCAGAATCGAAATATGAAAAAATTTTTTATTTTATTTCAGAAAAAGTCCGATTTTGTGTCAAAATACCTATGTTAAAACAATGCTATATATAAATCTAATATCCTAAGTCATGCCTTCAAGCCATGGAAAACGGAAGTTAAATTGCGACAATCGGTCGAGTAGAATGGGAAATATAGTAGAACTGACCCCTTTTTTTGTGAAAGGTGTACTTGTATCAATAATAATTTTTGCAGTTTAGATTTGAACTGGATTTGATTATTTAATCAAGGTGAAGCGCATAAATGCTTAAATACAACATAATTTTAACTCAAAATACTACGGATACCTGCTCCAGCACTGTACATTCTCTCTAACATAACATAGAGCTGTAAGTGTAGACGTGCAACCACTCATTTTGAGGATAGTGAACCCTAATAGTTGCAATAGATCTTAACGGTGAATTGGTCATTTCTGGTCATTTCGTTTTTAACAGCTCTTTGAATAAGATCAAGATTTATATTCAAAAAGTACAATGGGGAGGAGGTAAAATTAGATAATCTTGGCTCAACTCCAAAACATCAGATTCTTTTTTAGCAGCCTGTGTAGAGCCAATTTGAGTTTTAAGATCCCTAGAAATGTCCTTATTATAGTTTCTCCAAAAAGGGTTGTCAGGCAAATACACTAGCTTCTGTGTATAATAGGATTGCTTTTCTCTTAATACAATCATGAACAGGTTCCAAACCGGTTAAAAGCTGCATTTTATAACCAGAAGAATGAGCTTTAAATATAGCTGAGCTACAAACCGACACACGATCATTTGAAAAACTGATTTAAAGACAAAATCTACAGAGCAATAAAATTTTCAATACTAGTATTAGCATGGGCAACTTTATTTTACACTTATTTAGGAATATATTTCTTTTATTATGAATGCTTTTTTGGAGTTGCCCCATGAAACAATCTGTGGTCCAAGAAAGAGTTCAAAGAAATATTTTAAAATTGCCCTTCACGCAAAAGTGAGACAGCTTGAGTACAGATTTTACAATTGTTTTGGTACTCCTTTTTGAAATTAGATATACAGTAAAAGCCTGACTACCTGGCATTCAATTAACTGGAAAGCTCACTTAAATTGGAATATTTCAGAAAAAAAACCTGGCTCCCCAAAATTTAATAAATGAGAGATTTGCAATGCCATTACACAGTAATACAGGGTTCGTACACATTTCTGCACACGGAAATTTAGTACTTTTAAGGACCATTAATGAAAAAAATTAAGGACCTATGAGCAAATGGGAACTGAATAAATTCAATTAAAAATATTATCTATGCCTGAATTTCACTTTTGTAATACCATGCTAAAAATAAAATAGATCTCTAATTAGTATGCATTATTACTAAACATGAATTAACATAATTATTAACACGTTTGAGAATAAAATAAACTTTACGCAATTTATCAAGTAGCATTAAATATTTTACACTTATAATATTTGGGCAAATTTAAAAGAAGATAAGTGACATTTATATTTTACTAACAATTAACTTTATGTTGATTTTTTTAATGTCTCATTTTGTCACATACTTGGTCAGTCTAGAGGTTTAGTAAATAGCAGGTAGATTTAATGTCAAACGCCACAGGTTAAAATGAGAAGTAAGACCATTATCAGCATGATTCATAATGAAAGACTGAATGTTGTCACCACTGCTGCTTGTCTAAAGAGAGACCTGCTGATTAGAACAAACCTGAAAGGCCTGATGTAGGCGCGGTTGGCAAGTGTTGAAAGTTAGTCAGGCTCTGTGTGATGCAGTTAGTGTCGTAGCTTCGTGTAAAGTTCCAGGGGTTATAACCCAGTTAATAAACTCTAAGATTCCAATAAGCCATTAACGCATTAGCCGCTGGTGTTGCATTGACACAACAGTCAAAAGAAATGCGTATATAAATACAACTATCTAAGACATTTTATACCAGCAGATGATTTTGTGTAGGGAATATTATGAAGATTATTTCTGTAAAAAATATTTGCCTTCAACAATCATTTTGTTTATAATAATTAATCTCATACTTTAAGCAAAATTTTTAACCGGGTATTTTTGCTGAAAATATTTAACGAAAGAACTGCCGTCTTTATGAGTGATCTATTTTTATTCACCATTTATCAGAACATTACATCAGTCAGATGTTTATGTTGGGAAGGAAGGGAAAACAGGTGTTGCGCTGACGCAACATCAGCAGGAAACGGGTAGTCAATCTCCTCTTTCACTCATTCCTTTCGATGTTCTGGTTGTTTAAAAATGCCTAGAACTCAGTATCTTACATTAGAAGAAGTCCTTCAAAGATTTTTGGATGAAGAAACAGATGATGATAATGTTCATAATGACCAGAATGAAACTGATATTGTTGTTGGTTCCCCAGAAATTGCAGAAGCTAGTGACGAAGAAGAATGACAATGTTTAAATAATGATAATGATATTTTACCAAATGATACTGCTGGGGAAGTTGAAATTCACGTAACTTTCAGCCTTCTAAAAGCAGTTATAGTCATACTAAAAAGTTTAACGAGCAGAAGACTGAAATCTTGAAGTGGACAAAAAAGGAACTGTTAGTTATGTCTCAGGAAGAACATGAAGAAAGAGATAGAAGGGAAATTATAAAAGACAAAATACAAGGTAAAACTAGTGCACAGAGTTTCGATTTTCTTTTTTAGACATTTATTCTCTTCTCGTTGAACAGACAAATATATATGCTCAACAACAACCAAAACGAAAAAAAAAAAAAAAAAAAAGCCCAGAATTTATTGCATCTGAAGCCTATATGAGAAGATTTATTGGAATATTATTGCTTACAGGATATCATTCTTTATCTCAAGAAAAAATGTATTGGTCTTTTGATAAGGACATTTCTGTTCCTGTTGTACGAGAATCGATATCACGTTTGCAGTACAGGAATATGAAGCAGAATTTGCAGTTGACAATACTGATAAATTATATGAGGTGAGACCGTATCTAAACTAAATATCACCACTTTTCCTACTACTGGAAATATAAAGTCTCTTTTAAATTTCAGATGCGAGAATGCATTATTCCTTTTGCAAACTCCTGTTGAGAGTGTAGAATTAGCCAGAAATAGATCAGCAACAGGAAGACCTAGTAAATTTCAGCATTCAAAAACCATTGCATGGAGACGGTAGACATTTTATCGTAAAGTCCGTTGATAACAAAAGACTTTCTTGTAAAGAGTACCATAGCCAGACTGTTTATAGATGCAAAACATGTAATGTAGCTTTACATCATGATTGTAATCAAGCTTTTCATGCTTGAATCTTTCAATTGAAATAATCTGTATTTGTAAAAGAAACACAATGTATATTTTAATATTAAATTGATTACAAGTAAAGTGATTTGTAGATTTATAAAACGTTATACAGCTAAAACATAATCCTGCACTCCACTCAAAAGAAACATTACACAAGTACAGTCCTACTCACTAAACATCCATAGTCTTA